GCAGGTGGTCCCTGGGGAAGGGAGACATGGGAGTGAGACAAACCCTTGTGTTGAGGGCTGACTTTCAATAGATCGCAGCAAGGGAGTTGCTCTGGTACATAAGAAACCCTGACCCAGAAGCAGGTTGTCATGAATGGTTTAGCACCAGGGGCCAATGGGGGCTGGCCAGCTGCGGGGCGGGACCGCGGGTGGTTGGCAAGCCATGGGAGGTTGACTGTGGGAGCTCACTGACCACCAGGGGGCAGATCCTGTGTTGAGCGTCTGCCCCTGGTGGTCAGTGCACGTCATAGCAAGTGGTTGGGCGGTTGTTCTGGTGGTTTGGATGTAACGATCGCTTAGGCTTTTATATATATACATTGTTTAAAGTATTACATATAGTATTACATATGTCTCATTTTTCCCCCCATTTACTTTTCCCTGGCCACCCTCCTCCCATCCCCAGGCACATGCATTTACCCCCCTAGTGTCTGTTTCCATTGGTTATTATTATATGCATGCATACAAGTCCTTTGGTTGAGCTCTTATGACAACCACTGCCCCCACCACCACACACACAAACTTTCCCCTGCCTTCCCTCTGAAGTTTGACTGTCTATTCCATACTTCTCTGTCTCTGGATCTATTTTGCTCATCAGTTTATGTTGTTCATTATATTCCACAAATGAGTGAGATCATGTGATATTATCTTTCTCTGACTGGCTTATTTCGCTGGCATAATGTTCTCCAGATCCATCCATGCTGTTGCAAATAGTAAGAGTTCTTTTTTTTATATATAGCAGTGTAGTATTCCATTATGTAGATGCACCACTGATTTTTAATCCACTCATCTGCTGATAGGCACTAGACTATTTCCAAATCTTAGCTATTGTAAATTGTGCTTCTATGAACATAGGGGTGCATATGTTCTTTCTGATTAGTGTTTCTGATTTCTTGGGATGTATTCCTAGAAGTGGGTTTACTGGGTCAAATGGGAGTTTTACTTTTAATTTTTTGAGGAAACTCCATACTATTTTCCACCAGTCTGCATTCCCTCCAGCAAAGCACGAAGGTTCTTTTTTCTCAACATCCTCACCAGCACTTGTCCTTTGTTGATTTGTTGATGAAAGTCATTCTGACAGGTGTGAGATGATATTTCATTGTTGTTTTGATTTGCATATCTAGGATAATTAATGACTTTGAGCATGTGTTCATATGTCTCTTGGCCTTCTGTATGTCCACTTTCAAAAAGTGTCTATTTAAGTCCTTTGCCTAGTTTTTTTTATTGGATTGTTTATCTTCCTTTTGTTAAGATGTATGAGTTCCCTATAAATTTCAGAGATTAGGCCCTTGTCAGATATAACATTGGCAAATATGTTCTCCCATGCAGTGGGCTTTCTTATTGTTTTGTTGATCGTTTCCATTGCTGTGCAGAAGCTTTTTATTTTGATGCAGTCCCATTTGTTTATTTTCTCCATAGTTTCCATTACCCTAGCTGTATTGGTAAAGATATTGCTACAACATATGTCTGAGATTTTGCTGCCTATGTTGTCTTGTAGTCCTTTGTCAAATATTAATTGAGCATAATGGCTTGGGTCTATTTCTGGGTTCTCTGTCTTGTTCTTTTAGTCTATATGTATGTTCTTGTGCCAGTACCAGGCAGTTTTGAGAATAGTGGCTTTGTAATATAACTTGGTATCTAGTATTGTGATCCCTCCAACTTTGTTTTTCTTTCTCAAGATTGCTATGGCTATTCGGGTCTTTTTTATTATTATTATTCAGTTCTTTTTTTATTCTAGATGAATTTTTGGAGAGTTCTTTCTAGGTCTATCAAATATGCTGTTGGTATTTTAATGGGGATTGCATTAAATCTATAGATTGCTTTGTGTAGTATGGGCATTTTAATGATGTTGATTCTACCAATCCATGAACACGGTATATTCTTCCATCTCTTTATGTCTGCCTCTATCTCTTTCCCAATGTTCTGTTGTTTTCTGAGTAGGGGTCTTTTACCTCCTTAGTTCAGTTTATTCCTAGGTATCTTAATTATTTTGTGTGTAATGGTAAATGGGATTGTTTTTGTTGTTTCTCTTTCTGAGTTCATTACTTGCGTATAAAAAAGCCATAGATTTCTGGATGTTAACTTTATATCTTGCTACACTGCCAAATTCTAATAGTTTTTTGATAGAGTCTTGGGGGTTTCTATGTACAATATCATGTCATCTGCAAATAATGACAGTTATACTTCTTCTTTTCCAATTGGATGCCTTTTATTTCTTCTTCTTGTCTGATAGCTATGGCTAGCACTTCCAGTACTATGTCACACAGGAGTGATGGGAGTGGGCATCCCTGTCTTGTTCCCGTTCTTAGGGGAAATGAGTTTAGTTTTTGCCCATTGAGCTGTAGATTTGTCATATAAGACTTTCATTATGTTGAGTTATAATCCCTCTATTCCCACTTTGCTAAGAGTTTTTATAAGGAGTTGTTGGATTTTGTCAAATACCTTTCTGCATCAATTGATATGATTATGTGATTTTTATCTCTCACTTTGATTATGTGATGTATCATGTTTATTTATTTGCATATATTGTACCATCCTTTAATCCCTGGAATAAATCCCACTTGATCACAGTGTATGATCTTTCTAATTTTATGCTAGATCCGATTTGCTAGAAATTTGTTGAGGATTTTAGCATCTATGTTAATCATGCCTGTAATTCTCTTTTTTGTGTGGTGTCTTTATCTGGTTTGGGTATTATGGTAATGCTGGATTTATAGAAAGAGCTTGGAAGTGTCTATCTTAATGTATCATATTTGGAAGCTAATATGCTGTTGATTTTACCTGTTAGTGTACACTTTATTCCATTCCCTCTGGCCTGATGTGTTTCTGTTGAGAAATCAGTTGATAGTCTTATGGAAGATCCTTGGTAGATAACTCTCTGTCTCTCTCTTTCAGCCTTTAATATTGTCTCTTTGTCATTAATGTTTGCCATTGTAATTACGTGTCTTCATGTAGGTCTTTTTGGGTTCATCTTGTTTAGAACTCTCTTTGCTGGTGTGACTTGTTTCTTTCCCAAACCAGGGAAGTTTTCTGTCATTATTTCTTTGAATAAGTTTTCTAATCCTTGCTCCTCTTCTGGTCCTTCTAGACCACTATTATACATATGTAACTTCCTATCTCATTGTCCCAAAGCTCCCTTAGGCTCTCCTTTGCCTTTCTAGTTTTTTTCTCCAATTGCTGTTCAGATTGGGTATGTTTTTTCTGACCTATCTTCTAAGTCACTAATGTGGTCCTCTGCTTCTTCTAGTCTTCTGTTTAAACCTTCCAGTGTGTTTTTTTTATTGTAGCTATATCATTCTTGATTTCCTCTTGATTCTGACATAATTTGTTTATTTTCTCATCCATCGGGTTTATGAACTGTATGACCCTTACTCTCAATTCTTTTTATGATATACTAGGGGCCTGGTGCACGAAATTCGTGCACTGGGTGTGTGTGTGGGGGGGGGGGGGGGTGTGCCTA